GCAGCAGAGGCTCGGCTTTCATGTTGGCCGTCCTCGAGCCCGCTAATGGCCAGGTTGCTGGAGTCGCGCTCAGCGCTGGTTTCCCGCGCCTGGTCCGTTGTCGTTGCTACGTTATTTCTTTTCGCGATTTGCGCAGTCTTCGCATCCGCGCTTCTGCGCCCGATTATTTTCCTATGTTCGTCGCGCTCGGCGCAGTATTTTGCTTCGCTCTTGTGTTCTGTTTTCTTTCATGCGTTCGCCGCATGCTTCGGTTCCTTTCTCCTCTTCGCGCTCGGCGCAGTGGATGCTGTATGAATGCTTATGTGTCATCTTGTCTTTCCTTCACGTCAGACCACTGATTCGGCAACTAAAAAACATGCTGGAGTCCTGATCCACTTTCGAACTCGTGTGAATTTCCAGCTTCCGATGCATTTTCGATCGTGCCGTAATCGCATGAGTTTGCCCGAATTGATGAAACATCCGTTTTGTTGTGGCCTGAATCGCGCGACGCATCCTCAGAATTGTGCTTTCTGGCCAGCCGATCGCATGTCTGCAGGTTACTCAAGTTCGTCCCAATCTTCAGCTTTTTTTTTAAAAAAAATAAATTTTCGATTTTGCCGCAATCGCATGGGCTTGTCCGAATGAGTGAAACATCCGTTTCGTTTTGGTCCGAATCGCGCGGGGCATCCTCAGAATTGTGCTTTCTGGCCGGCCGATTGCATGTCTTTAGGTTATTCAAGGTTTGCTCAATTGCGCGAGATATTCTCGAATGTTCGTTCTTGAACTGGTCGACCAAATTTTGCTACCGTGCTTGGGGCATCTTTCAATTCTGGGCATCTAACCAGTCGACTGTCCTGCTAACCAGTCGACTGTCTTGCTCTCCCCGGAGCACGGCTGAACACACACGAACATTGCAGAGCAGGACCATGGCAGAATACACAGGAGCACGGCAGTACACACAGGAGCACGGCAGAACACGCAGGAGCACGGCAGAACGCATTGAACATGTAGTCATACCGCCGCACCCACAGGCGCACGCATATAAGCACACGCACACAGGCACACGCACACGCACACGCACACGCACACGCACACGCACATGCACACGCACGCACAGACACCTACACACGCACACACACGCACACACAGAGAGGCAACGTACGTTCACGCAGACCGCAGGAGCACGGCAGAGCAGCACGGCATAACACAGCAGTGCCGCAGACCACCACGCACAGACACACATGCACATATTCCACGCGCGCACGCGCACGCGCAAACGCACGCACGCCACGACATATCCGCGCGGCAGACCAGCAAAAGAGCATGTTTCACATACCTAGTGGACAAAAGCGACGCTTCCCGTTCTTGTCCGGTTAGGTTACCTAGAATGGCCATTTCGCCTGAGACATCCTCGCACCATCGGGATATCGGAGGATCTATTTTAGTGCGTTTTTTGTCAAAGTGAAGCTCTCGCTGCAGAAATCTTCGCAAAATGATTATATTGAAATCTCTCGCGAAATTCGCCGATCTCCAAAAATGGGCGTTTCGCCTGATACATTCTCGAAAGACATATATGCCGACAGAGCTGTGATTAGACGTCTTATGTCAAACATGTAGCTCTCGCCCGAGACATCCTCGAAAAGAAGAGGTGTCCAGGGAGCGTTCGAATTCGTCGTACTCTCAAAAATGAGGCTCCCGCCTGAGACATCCTCCAACACATGCGATGTGCAATAAGCTGTCTTACGACATTGGTTGTAGGCATTATGTGGAGGACCCCCCAAGACGGCCCAAGAGGGAACATCTTATAAAAAACCATGTTTTTCAATCATGTCGCTCAAAAGTATGCGCTTCGCTGGATACATCACAAAATTTGCATCGTCGTCGGCGTCGTCGTTGTTGTCGTCTTCGTTACCATTATCATCGTCATCGTCGGTGTCGTCCTCCTCTTCCTCGTCATTGACGTCGTCGTCACTGTCGTCGTCATCGTCACCGTCGTCGTCATCATCGCCGTTGTCGTCGGCATCGTCGTCGTCACCGTAGATGCGCCAGCGGGAGGTGCGCCTCGTCTGAACTCGCGCGGAAAGTAAACTCGACCTGACACGGGGGAACGCGGTCTGGAGACGGAAAATGCCGAGATGTGCCAGCGGGGGGTGCGCCTCGTCTGAACTCGCGCGGAAAGTGAATTCGACCTGACACAGGGGAACGCGAGTGGTGAGATAGGGGGTCTGGAGACGGATGATGCCGAGATGCGCCAGTGGGAGGTGCGCCTCTTCTGAACTCGCGCGGAAACTAAGTTCGACCTGACATAGGGGAATTCGAGTGGGGAGATGGGGTCTGTAGACGGGTAATGCCGAGATGCGATAGTATTGTATCGTGATGATGGTGCACGTTCTTGCAAAGCTCGTCGCTTTCACGCGCTTCCCGTTCATGTCAAGACATGTTCCTCCAAACAGCGATTTCGCTTGAGACGTCCTCACAAAGCATAATATATTCGCGACATCGCATTTAACAAAAACAAGCG